GAGGTGTTGTGATAAATACAGGTGGGAAAATGGCGCAAGCAAACTGCCGGTCCCTGCCTAGGCCCCGGCTTAGGTGTCAGCCATGCCAGGCGTAATGAGGAGGTGAGATCTCACCTCCTGCCCAACGGAGAGGGGGTCCCCGCTGGAGAGGGTGTTCCAAGGGACAGGTCTCCATGAAACCAGCCTTGCCCCATGGCAGCTGTGTGGCGGCCATCAGTACTTGCACTCCCTGCAGGCCCAGGAGCAGGGCGGCTCGGCCTGGCGGCAGTGAGCAGGGCAGGGAGGTGTTGGGGCTGTGGCTGCTCATATCCAAGGATGAACGTACCTTTCCTCTCCTGGGCCAGACCCTCCTGCCTTTTTTCCCTAAAATCAGTTATTCCTGATGTGGTCTGTGTTTCTGATACCTCAGAAACTCTTGCTTTAGAGTAACCTTATTCTTGGCAAAAATAGACCAGCTGCCCAGGGATGAGAAATGTACTAAACCTTGTAATTCAGTTACCTTGGTAACATCTGTAAGGAACTACCAGTGCAAACCCACTATTTTTTTCTTGGTCTCTTTTATGGCAATACATATTTATGTTTAGTTGGGCATAAGTGTGATTTATAGCCATTGTAGCCATTCTCCTGAACATTATCCTGACAGACAATAGTTCCTGTTTCTAACAAGCAAGGTTAAGTGACTGTAAAAGCAGGTATTTGACTGTAGAGTACAAATTGAGGTTTACCATCAAGTAACTAAGCATTTGCTAAACAAAGACAAAATTGTGTAAATACTACATTATTGTTTCAAAGTATTATAATGCTTGATTACATTTACTTAGCAGAGGAATTTTTTCAATGGTTGTGTTTTAGAAAATGTATAAAAGATCTTTTTTTTTTTTTTTTTTTTACATTGTAGCATTCTCATACACATGTGAGTTTTAGTTGTCAGCCACTCATTGTACAGGGAAAAAAAAAAAGAAGTAAAAGCATTATTGCTTATGATTACAAGCCAAAGCTAACAGTCTTACTTTGGACTTGGTTGTTCCTGGATTTGGCTCTAAGCACAGCTCTCTTCCTACTCCATCATTCCCATTTAGCCATCTATGTCCTGGTAGTGGCTCTGCACTGCACAACCTGGGACACTCAGGTGCTGGCACGCAGAAGTTTGCTAGGGATCAGACTTGTGTGCTGCACAGTAGGCAGAGCCCCCAGCTTTTTGTAGCTCTTTGCATCCTCTGGTTACTCACTTGTTTCTCTCTTTGCTCCCCACAGCAGGGAATTTTCTGAGCCTTTCAAAGGGAGAAGCATCCCTCACTCGGTGACCGATTCAGTAATTGATTTAATTAATTTGAAACTAACTGTCACTTGTTAAACTGATAATCAAGAAGCCAATTATCTGTTAACAGTCCTAAATACCAATCAGTGGTAACCAAAGTGTTTCTCTCTTAAAGAAATCTGGATGTCTTGCTGATATTTCAGAGCTTTTAAAATGAGTTGTAAATATGGCTACTTTCTTTAAAAAATTAAAGACTCTGTATTAGAATGCCACTTTTCTAGTTCAGAATAATCGTAGAACCACGTACTCATTTAGGTTGGAAAAGACCTTTAAGATCATCAAGTACAGCTGTTAACCTAGCGCTGCCAAGTCCACCACTAAACCATGTCCCTAAGCACCACATCTACCTGTCTTTTAAATACCTCTAGGGATGGAGACTCAACCGCTTTCCTGGGCAACCTGTTTCAATGCTTGACAACCCTTTCAGTGAAAAAATTTTTCCTAATGTCCAACCTAAACCTGCCCTGGCGCAACTTGAGGCCATTTACTCTTGTCCTATTGCCCGTTACCTGGGAGAAGAGACCAACACCCACCTCACTACAGCCTCCTGTCAGGCAGTTGTAGAGAGTGATAAGGTCTCCTCTCAGCCTCCTTTTCTGTAGGTTAAACAAACCCAGTTCCCTCAGCCACTCCTCACAGGACTTGTACTCCAGACCCTTCACCAGCTTTGTTGCTCTTCTGTGGAAACGCTCCAGCGCCTCAATGTCCTCTTGTAGCAAGGGACCCAAAACTGAACACAGTATTCAAGGTGCGGCCTCACCAATGCACAGTACTGGGGAAGGATGACTTCCCTACTCCTGCTGGTCACACTATTCCTGATACAAGCCAGGATGCTTGGCCACCTGGGCACACTGCTGGCTCACATTCAGCCAGCTGTTGACCAACACCCCCAGGTCCTTTTCCACTGGGCAGCTCTCCAGCCACTCTTCCCCAAGCCTGTAGGGTGCACTCAGTCCCCTCATCCAGATCATTGATAAAGGTATTAAACAGAACTGGCCCCAATACTGAGCCCTGGGGAACACTGCCTGTGACCGGCCACCAACCAGATTTAACTCCATTCACCACAACACTTTGGGCCCGGCCATCCAGCCATTTTTTTACCTAGCAAACAGTATGCCCATCCAAGCCATGAGCTGCCAGCTTCTCCAGGAAAATTCTGTGGGAGGCAGTGTCAAAGGCTTTGCTAAAGTCCAGGTAGATAACATCCACAGCCTTTCCCGCATCCTCTAAGTGGGTCACCTTGTCATAGGAGGATATCAGGTTGGTCAGGCAAGACCTGCCTTTCATGAACTCATGCTGACTGGGCCTGATCACCTGGTTGTTCTGAACATGCCGCGTGATGGCACTCAAGATGATCTGCTCCATAACCTTCCCCAGTACCAAGGTCAGGCTGACAGGCCTGTAGTTCCCCGGATCCTCCTTCCAGCCCTTTTCATAGATGGGTGTCATTTGCTAACCTCCAGTCAACCGGGACCTCCCCAGTTATCCAGGACTGCTGATAAATGATGGAGAGTGGTTTGGTGAGCACTTCCGCCAGCTTCCTCAGTACCCTTGGGTGGATCCCATCTCATTCCATACACTTGTGTGTGTCTAAGTGGTGTAGCAGTCGCTAACCATTTCCCCTTGGATTATGGGGGCTTACATTCTGCTCCCCTTCCCTGTCTTCCAGCTCAGGGGGCTGGATACCTGGAGAGCAGCTGGTCTTACTTTTAAAGACTGAGTCAATATTTATTTCTGAAACTGCATTTAGAATTTTAACATTTTTAACATGTTATGCCCTGTAAGCCATAAGTCTCAGGGCATGATAGAATGTTTATTAAGGGTAAATCCTGCTCACCTTCTTAATTTATGTAGCTGAAATCCTCAAGTAGCCCCATGTTTTTAAATCAGAACATTTCCATTGCTCTGTTGCAAGTTGGGTTGGTGAGCACATTTAAAAGTCTTATTCTAAGAACGTTATGTCTTTTATTGTATATACATTTGTATTTGTAAGAGGTAATGTAAAAGTGGTATTACCAAAACATAGCTTTATTTTTTATTGCAGCCATTAATTATAAAGCATTTTGTAAAACAAAAACAAATGTTCCTTAAATAAAAGCATTGAAATTATTATTTTTATTATGTATTTTCATGAAACTAGATTTTTTTTTACAGGTTTACAAAACAAAGCTATTTTAAAAAATATGTTCGGAATGTATGCCCAATCCTGTATACTTTATGACATAAAAATGTTGGATGAGTATAGGAAGCAAGCCACTGATGTATGATGGCTTGTCTATGGCTCTCTAAGTACTTAATTGGATTAGATCATTACCCATTTATACAATATTTTCATCATTTTTTAAATTCTGATCTGAGGGTGCTGAATAGTTGCTTTTTACTGTATTAAGGATGGAGAGTCAACAATTTGATTAATCATGTAGTTTCAAGCATGAGTATTTCTGAGCACATCCTTTAAAGAGTGTGTCCTGATGGTTTTTTTTAAATTCCTGGTGTATTTAAATGTGTTTATTTCTTTTCCATGGAGGTTGTTTAGACGTCCTGAAAGCAGATGGTATATTAAGGTACTAATATATTAAGGTCCATCTCATCCCATATTTCCAGTTTCAACCTGTACACATTTCTGGCTGCTAACCCCCCAGTTTTGTTTCCAGCTTCACAGTCTGCGATAAGCATAGGCTTGTAGAGCCCTGGGCAGGAGCTTGCTCCATTAGCAAAACCATTTAAGTCGCCCAGAAAGAGATGCTTTAGAGAAAAAGAAGTAAGCAAACTGAGGGATGAATTCTGCTGCCATTTAATCCATTGAAGGATGAGTTGTTTTACTAGATAGCCTGTTGGACAAAAGATTCTTTAGAAGTAAAGAAGGGTGGAGTAGTAGTGAAGTGGCAAATTCCGGTGCTGACAAGCACAGGGTACACAAACCCATAAGCATACGAAGACACATGTTAATCATACATGTCAGCTGTAAAATCTTAGGGGTAAGAACAACACATCTGGAGTTTTCAGATGTAACTTTCAGGATGATAATTTAATCCTTTATGAGCAGTATTTTAAAATATGTTATGACACACAATGAATGAGCAAAGCAAGTGAGTACCTGAACAAAATAATGAGAGGATCTTTGTTTCTGGATTCAGCTTTTCCAGTATAATCTCTGCTTCCAGCAGTGAATACATCAGATGTATTTACATCGTATCTTTGCAAGAGAATGTTTGTGGATATGACATATGCTGCTCTGCACCCTTAAAACCTGTGAACTAGATTCTCTCTCAGTGCCATGTGCATCTCTGTTGATTTCAGAAATATGCAATACTGCAGTAATGAGCATGGTATAAGGATCTAAATACATTCATAGACATATGGACAGACAGATGGATTAAGGCAGACTTTGTCACTTTGTCCCTAAAAATCCTTTGTGATACTTATCTTTTGTGTACACAGTGACACTAAGGTGCCAGCCCAGATCATTTCCCTTAACTTAGTAATATTTTATGGATTTACATAAAGTTTTTACTTGAAAACGTGGAGGAGTGTGTGTGTACATTTTGCAGAAATGTACTGGTGCTAGTAATATAAACCATTTTCATTCTATTTTGAAAAACATTGTGAAGGTATAAATTATGTTTGAACTGGACAGAGATGATGATGTGGCATGTGACTGAAAATATATATTTTTTAATAGATGATTCAGCCGCAGAGAGTTTTAATGGCAATGAGACCGTGGGACACAGTTCCAATGCTTCAGGGGGAACACACTGCAGGGAGATGGCAGAAACCAACAGTAATGGCAAAACAAATCTGGAGCAGGATGAGCAGCCTCTGAACCTGAGTGACAGTCCCCTCTCTGCTCAGCTGACTTCAGAATACAGACTAGATGATCACAGCAGTAATGGAAAGAACAAATACAAGACTCTCCTAATTTCTGATCTCAAGATGGAACGGGAGGCAAGAGAAAATGGAAGCAAGGTAAGATGCTTCCACATGCTCCAGATATGAAGTGTGTAGCTTAGAAAAGGAAAAGATTTGTGAGGCCAAACCAAAGGTTTTTCCCAGCTAAGCACTTAATGCAATGTGTCTAATGTTTGTCACATCATTACTCAAATGCTATACATAGATTTGGATGCTCTGTTACACATATATGATGCATACGTACATTAAGTGTATGTGGATGTACATGGGTGAATACACATATATAGGCATATATATTGTGCTGCACACTGACAAAGACCAGTGCAGTTCTCCATCAGGCATCAATTTTATCAGTCAATTTATTGAGAACTGTCTGCATTACCCATTTGAAATATATATATATATATAAAAATATGTATATAATGTAATACATATATATGTATATATACTGGGATACGTATACCTATGTATATTTATAGATGACCATCTCATTACATTTATTATGCATCTGTAGAATGAATTGGTATGAATGTTAAGTGTGTATGCCCAAGCAAATTACTACACGTGCATTATCAACATCTGAAAGGAACTGATTTGGTTCCTTCCTGATTGTTTGTGTTATGCAGGCACCTAACCTGAATTAAAACTGACAAGTTTGCTTTAAGCAGCTGTAATCCCCTGAGGGCTTTTCTCTGTAGTTTCCATTATGTGAGTAAGGAGAAGCGAGGGTGGTTATATTGTAGATAAAGACAGATCCTATAGGTTAGATAGCTAGCTTTCCAGGAGGGTGTTTGTCATGAGGGCATACTGTAGGGAGGGTGAAGAAATGGCCTGTATCATAGAATGTATCCATTGATCTTATTGGTGACAAGTTCCTTTTGTTTTTTTTCTGATAACACCCAACTGGATTACCACTTTTACAGCAGCAATAATAGGATGTTAGTATTGGATCCAAATACTATTAACACTAGTCACTAGCTTTCAGTAGCTCACTACAAAATAAGCTGACAACAAAGATATACTTTGAATGGTGACATTTTTTTGCAGGGCTTTGAAGTAGAAGTGATATGGAAAAATCACTTTTTTTAGGTATATCCAGAAAGGGATTCTACATGACTGATGTCTAGAGAACAACATTTATTTATGCTGAAGTTTTAACTCCTGTTTTCATTGCCTGCGGAGTAAAAATAAAAACTTGAAATGTTTTCTTAACTTAAGTGTCTGGTTTTGGTGGGTAGAAGAAAGGGAGACCAAAAGGGAGATTGTTAGTCTTTCTTTTTCTTGGCCATTCCAGTTTAGCAAATCATGTATCCCAAAACTCCTCCATAAAATCTTTACGAAAACCTGTTTATCTGCATGGAATATTTTTGTTTCCACCAATTTTCATTTTATTGAAAATGTTCTGAATAGCTCTAGTCTCAGAGTGTGTATATACTCCAGTGCTGGATTTACTCACTACTTTGACTGTTGCACAGTGAGTCCCAAATTGGCTAATATGAACGGTATCTTTGTTTGCTCTAGGGCACATTGTTCCAATGAACCTTTTATAAGCCAGTCACCCAAATATTGATAGACACACAGGCTTTTTTGCCTGAGGTCCATTGCTGCTTCTGCCATTACTCTTGCAAATACACAAATAAGCTTGGTGAAGAAAGCGAAGAGTCTTAATATGGAACTCATTTGTAGCAAAGACAAGAAAATAGCCTAATGTTACATTTCCAATTTCAATCAGTTCCAACTCAGATACAAAAAAAAAAGTATCCAAAATTGTTAAAAATCTGTTTCTAATGAATCAAGATGACAATCAAAGACATCTCATTCTTTGTTATTCTACAAATTTTAAGAGGCCTGAATCATCCCCCACATTGATATATTCTTTCATCACTCACTGTCATCCTACCCACTCTATACTGCCAACAATATGCAGATTTGTCTCTCCTTTTTGTCCTAGTGAAACTCATGTTGATGTTTACAGTTCATTTAAGTATATGATTTATTAGGTATGCAATAAAGATTATTAAATATGGAGTGAAGACTTCAGGAAGAATACGCTTCTGAAATAAACAACAATTTGTCAGGGATTTGTAAGCTGAGTGTAGAGTAAAAGAATGTTGTTGTGGCCAATTTCATATTTTACAGATGAATTCTACTCTTATGGAATATTTTTAGAAGGAACAAAACCCATCAATGTATTGGAATAGAATGGGACTGTACAGCATCTCAGTGTTTCATATGCATACATATACATTCATATAAATCATTACTACTGTTTTACCTTAAGTGGTGTCTTACATGCTGAAGAGTCAGAGAATGTTTTATGAGCGTTAGACCTAACCAAGGAGGTCCTTTTGCCTTCCCCTGGTGATTCAAGTTACTGGGCTCCTTGAGAAGAGTGTTCTGGCCGTTACTGAGCTGATTAATTTTGAACAATGCAGAAGATCGAACTCCTAGTTGTGTGCAGTACCCACTGGATGCACTTGGGCAAGGGTATCACAGGGAACTAGCCAGAACTCTAATTCTCTGCCAAAAAGGAAACAAAATAGCAAGTAAGCTTAAGAGAGTACTATACTTTATTAGCAGCCACCTCTCACATATCCTTTTTACCCAGAATATACCAAGTATGTGGGTTGTTTTTTGAAGCCATCTAGGAATTCTCCCAGCACTCTCACAGCATCTAACCTCCAGCCATTCACAGTTACAGTTATCAGACATGATTAGACCTGAATAATGGCATGACTGGTAGTCATGGGTAAGCAAATGTCTTTAGCATAACCTCTAATCATGTTTTCATGGGAAAAATGATGTGCAGTGTTCACCAAAAATCAAGTGGATATGCCACTTCTTACAACGTAGTATTCTTACAGTATCTTTTATGTGGCAAAGAACTGAGAGAAGTTATGTGAGGAGTTAGCAAAGAAAATATCTGGTTTCTAAATGAAGGGAAATATATTTTAATTATTGGGCTAGCATTGCAGAAAGTAATACGTTATGTTTCCCCCAGCTTCTATAATGACCCATTCAGCCTGCAGAAGATGTTACTTGCTTGAAATGGCCAGGACTCTGTGAAACCCACAGTCAAAGGGCTGGAGCTGGGAAGATCTGTTGGCTGACATGTTCCCTACCTGCTCTGTCTGAGTCTCCTTTTTGGATACTGCGCCATATATGTTTTATTAAATTTGAAGCCGCAGTTTTTCTGGTCAGCTTGGATCTATTCTGACCTGTTGCTAGGTTTAAAGATAACACATCAGAGCTGAATCTAGCCACAAAAAGCCAAAAGATTACTCTTTTTGGTTGAAAATTATCAATACATTACACCTCCTCCATCAAATCACAGATTTTTTAAGGGAGTTTATTTTTTCTGGAAACGAGCAGTTTTGTTAAACTACATTATAGGTATTTGCCTGTACAATATCGTTTACAAGAACGATACTTCCTTCACATGTGTAGTGGTGGACTCCACCATTTGACGATATAGTTCTGATTGATAATTTCGTACACACTGCAGAAATATGATCAGAAGAAGCAGTTGGGATAAAAATGCTAGTTTTTCCATCGTATTTTCTTTGTAAATTTGACAGCTAATAGGTAAATGTTTTTTGAAGATGGTGGAAGTTCAATTTTTGGAATATTCATCTTGTCCATACCTATTTGAAGCAATTATATGCTTATGCTGTATGGAAAGTTTGCTAGATAGTGACCTCATTCCATGAAAGAGTCTTGGATGTCAAAACAGGGATACTTAACATTTTCCTAAAATCAGGCCTCTCTAATGTACACAGAGGAAGTCATTAGTGATTTGTAAGAAATGTAGGTTTGGGGGAATAATAAATCAAGTTTTCTTGTTCGAAAAGACTCTGATGAGTAACTGGAGATTAGATAACCCTGTGAATAAATTTTAATTAAACTTTTCAAACTAGTAGGGTATGTTATTTAAAAAATGCTCTGTTCAATCACTTCGGAATATGACTTTTAAAACTGTTGTTGATAACACTCTTTAAACAAGAATCATGTTTCAGTGGACAGTGTAACTTTACTCTTTGAATCCTCAGTTTAAGGCAGTGAGCATATGTGGTAACCTCTTCGTGTAAAATGATCACATGTTGAGTGCAGTGGAGGGAGTCGCCAAATTGTAACATAACCATTGAAATCTGGTCCAAAGTGTTTTACCATTCACTGAAAAAATGTTATGCAAGGAAGAAATGGGTTTTTATAGTCTTAAATATATATACATAAGTATGTATGTATATACGTGTATGTGTTTATATATGCTTTTGGTTAAACTGATATTATGGAACTGATCCTCCAGTAAGACTCAGATGTTCGCAGCAGTAGAACTTTCTACAACCATTTAGGGCTAAACTGAAGCCAGTGAAATTTTGTATAGCTGTGAAAATATATACATAAATTTACCTTAACAGGGCTGTGTCTTTGTACTACAAAAGACGTACAGAGTACTCATCTGTAAGGGCTCTGCAAATGCAGTTCTATGAATTCAAATAGTTAAGTGCACATATAAATTATTTTAGATCATTGCATACTTGCGTGTGAGACTGCTGGGTTTCTGTATGACCATGGTGAAGTCTCTGTAGCACTGAGATATTTGATTTCTGATTCTTGTGTTATTGCTTTTTCCTAGACCATATATTTTATTTTGAAAACTCATTATATAGCTTTATCTCTTCCACACCATTTATTTAATGAAATACAGGAAGTCCACTCCTTTTAACTGATTTTATCTCTTCTGCATTTGGATAAGAAGGTTATTGTGATACAGCATGGGAAACAGGTTTTTTGAGCGAACCAGCTATACTTACATTTTGCCATGTATTTTACCTGCATTAATAAATAGTTCATAATGTCTGCATTGCAAAGGATGTTCCTAGTATGCAAAACTTCTCTTTGGGATTTCCCAGATAGAAACACGTGCTACTGATCATGAGTGCCTAGGAGGTGCATTAAAGTGAGGTAACAAGGAGGGTGCAACCCTGTGTCCATTTTGTCCAAATTCCTGCTAATTGCGGACAGTTGGTTAATGTCTTCTTTCCTTTTACCAGACA